ATTAAGCAAATGGTGAGAAAACAATTATTAGATGTATATTTTTAAATATTTTTAAAATAATAAATGCAAATTCAGCTGGATTTTGTAAATGACCTACATTTATAAAATGGAGCAACAAACATTTGCTCTTTTCCTCTGTGAAGCCATCCTGCCCASCTCTTTCCCTCCCAATCACTGATTCTTTCTCTTTCATAAATGTTCATTGAGTTGAAGCATGACACCATAAATCTGAAAGCTTTGTAATTCTGAATCATTGAAGAAGTGTTAAATTGAGTACATTATATTATACAGTTATAGAGATAGATTTTGAAAAAGTTTTTGTTAACTATCCTGAAACCACAAAATTGGCTAAGGAACACAAATACATTTATACAGTTTTGGATAAATGTAYGGGACTTAATTTAGTTGTGAGCTTTTTTTTYMWTTTWWYTTTYYKKTTTTKGSYTTTTTTTATGAGTGAGGAAATATACTGGATAGGATCTGGACAGGAAAGGAGTTTAACAAAAATGGTTAAGAGTAAAAGAATGTATGCTTTAGAAACTGATTATTGTGGAAAACAAAACTAGGAGGAAATTTTCAAGTCCTTTAATACGTATTTTGAGTTATCAATATTTCTGCTTTGCCAGAAGCAGAATTCAATAAGAAATTACATCCCAACTACTGAGTCAACAAGGAAGTGAAAAATAAAGAAGTAAAAAATAAAGAAATGTACTTCCTCCTTCATGGTTATGTGATATTATAGCTTTCTAACTGGTCTTTCATGAATGTATTTAAACTATTTCCAAATTGAACTTTCTATTACAGAGTTAAAATGATGTGTAAGATTCAAAACCTTAAAAACTAAGCTCCAATTTCAGAAGAATTCAATTTAAACATCTTTCAAAACATGACTGCTTTATTATAAGGCCTCGGTACACATTTTCATTACTATTTTCCATAAGGCTTCTGTTGAAATCTATTTCCCATTCTTATAACAAAATGCCCAAGTTTGGGTAGTTTATAAAGTAAAAAAAAAAAATTCATTTACATTTATAATTTTGGAGGCTGAAAAATCCGAGATCAGGCTGCTCCATCTACTTGGCCTCCTATGAGGGCCCCTTTACTGTGTCACAACATGGTTGAGAATTAGAAAGGCTGTGGGTRGAAGAAACAAACTACATTTTACTTTATGACAAGTTCTGCTCTTACTAACCCGGTCCCACAAGATCTAGAAATCTCRTTGGAGAGCATTAATCCATTCACCAGAGGCTCCTTGGCCTCACCTCCTAAAGATTATGCCACCTCCCAACACCTTTGGGAAACACATCTGAACCATATCCAAACCACAGCCGCTTCTAGCTTCTTTACACACATGCACAGGAGCCAAACTGGACTATTCATTCATTCCTCCATCGTACCCTATGAGTTCCTCCTCTGTTCCTTCATTAAACTCTCTCTCTCTCCTTCTCCCTGGAGCACCACTCCTCACACAGCCTTTCATCAAATCCTTCTCAAAGCCTACCCATAAGTTTTCTCATRAAGCCTTTCATGCTCTCCCCCTCAATGTGACCTGTTCTCTTTTCTGAACAGTCACAGAACTTCACACCTTCCTGAGGTAACTGAGATGTCCTTGTTTGTGTCACAGTTGTTTCTTTGTCTCAATCCTTCTTGCCCATCCACCTCTTYCTGGTTTTGTAGGGTCCAAGACTAAACTCTGCTTACCCTCAATTAGCGTAGTATTTTTCTATTTAATGTGTTGCATCAGTGTTTCTTCATTTATAAAGTTGCCCAAGTATCATGAAAGGAAATGTGAGATCACTATTGTTGATCTGCTCTGCAGCCAACCTAGGTGTCCTCGGCTGTCCTCGTGAAAAGGTAAGAGGACAATGATGCCGTGTTGTTATCATTCCTGAAACCTCTTAGAGAACACACAGTGGGCCTGGCACTGTGGGGGCAGGCCTGTAATCCCAGTGGCAGGGAAGGCTAAAATGTGGATAGCGAGTTCAAAGCCAGCCTCAGCAACTGAGTGAGACACCCACCGTCTCAAGATAAAATAAAAAATAAAAAGTGCTAGGAATGTGGCTCAGTGTTTAAGTGTCCCTGGGTAAAAAAACAAATGAAAAAAAAAAAAACAACGGAATACATGATTACATATACACATACACACAGAGGGGGAGAAAAATCCCTTTGGAGAGTATCAGACTGGGAAAAGAAGAGTGTGAGTAGTCATTTAGCTAATTAGGTTTCATCTGGAAGATAAATGGTCTGGATCACATCTATTTAATTTTCCTACCTCTGAAATTTAATTATTTTAAATAACATCATGTTAAAATCTGAAAGAAGAAAGGCACTGACTCAGTTATGTTACACAGTATGTAAACTGACCATTAGAGAAACATATTCCTGGATAGAAAATTGTGTTTCCATATCATGCAGCTTTTTTAAAGATGAAGGAATTCAACCACATTTCTTCTTTGGTAGCTTTTAAATATCACTGTGTCACCAGGTCACAGTCTTTGCCATCTCATTTAGACATATGCGCCACATGTCCAGTATCTAACCCAATTGCTGCAACTTAAACTCCTGAAGAGGAAAGAGAGGGGATTCAAATAATCCCAATGGAAAGCATTAGTTTTATGTTTGTTTGTTTGTTTGTTTAGTTCTAAGAGGGAATTTATTAGATTGGCTCATAAAGTCAGAGGCTGAAGAGTTTCACAACGGCTGACTGCAGGCTGGAGAGACAAGGGAAACCAGTAGTTGCTCAACCCAAGAAGTTGGAGCCTCAGAGTGAGAGAAGGGAGCAAAAGAGAGAGAAAGACAAAGCAAGCCTGCACCTGACTGATTCTGCAGGAGGGTCAAGGCCTGGAAGCCCCTGGAGAGCGATTGGTACAAGTCACGTTCAAAGGCTGAAGAATGTAGAGTCTGATGTCCATGGGCAACAGCCAAAGGGAAACACATCTGGTCAGAAGGGGAGAGCAGGGACAGAGCTAGCTTTTCTCTTCTGCATTTTCATTCCAGGCTTCTACCCTATAGGATGGTGCCACCACATTTGGGGCAGGTCTTCTCCACTCAGTTCACTGACCCACATGCCAATCTTCTCTGGAAACATCCTCACAGACCCACTGGATTTTCCAATTCTCTACTTCTGTTCTAAGCATCACTGAATCCAGTCAAGTTGGCTAACAAAATTAACCACCAAAGTGGGATTAAATATAAAAACAGAATAAACCCCATTATTAAACTACCATCTCCTATTTTGGGTGGGACAGAAAGAACACAGGCAGATGCTTCTAGACTGAGAGATTCTGAGCTTCACATCCTGAGAGTGGAGAGGTCAAATAGACCAGCAAGATCAAGGAGGAGATCAGCAGGGGTGGGCTGACTCATGGATGCAGATAACTGGCTGAGGTTTTGGGGTTGGAGTGGGGAATCTTCAGCTCAGACCATTCTAAACAGAATAGTTACATCAGGGTACGGCTTCACTCTGTCTCATGGTACAAGAGAAGCCTTAAACTTCAGTAGAAAGTTGTTTTGGGATCTCCAAGAGGAGACTGGAGAGATTTGGTTCTAGGACTGGCCAAGTTATTCAAAACTCTACCCATATTTTTCCTCTCAGTGTTACATTAAGAGTCAGCTTGAGCCAGGTGCAGTGGCACASATCTGTAATCCCAGCAACTCAGGAGGCTAAGGCAGGAGGATCACTTCAAAGCCAGCCTCAGCAAATTAGGGAGGCCCTAAGCAACTCAGTGAGACCCTGCATCAAAATAAAAAACAGGCTGGGGATGTGGCTGAGTGTTAAATGCTCTAAGGTACCAATCCTTAGTACCAAAAAAGAAAAAAAAAAAGAGTCATCCTAGAAAGAGGCTGGGCCTTTGGGCTGGTCAGAGCATTAGTTTTTTAGTGGGAATTTATAAAGAATCTGTTCAAAGGTAGCATTTGAATATTCAAGTGTTCTAATCAAGATGTAGGAATATTTTACTATTCTACAACTGTGCTTTCATTCCACTTACAGAAATTAACTCATACAGATTTAATCAAGTCTATTTTTTAAAAGAAGGAAAATTAGAATTCAGAGTGCTTCATGCAGGATGCACAAAGCTTCAAAGGTCAGCATTGAGGGAAAACCAGATGACAAGTGCATTGTTTTTTATTCTTGATTCTGCCCATAATTCCTCATGGGAAAATCTGTAGCTCTACATGCTTGTTCAGAAGTGAATTTATTAGGAAAAAAAAAAGATAATTTCTTCCTACTCTATTTATTTATATTTTGTAAATATTAGGAAGTAATTTTACATCTATATCTGAATATTAAAAATACAGTTTTGTTTTAATATACAATATACTTTTATGAGTCATGCACATAAAATAGTACTATTAGGAATGCTTCTTTATAACATAGTGATTACCTGCCCCAACGGAGCATATAATTATAAAGCAGTAAGGCCAATTCTAAGTTGTGCATAGAACCAGTAACTGTGTCATTAAGGCAATTAAAAGATTTATTGAATGTTGGTTAAAAGTAGATTGACAATGACATTAAAGAATAAAGTGTAATTTATTTGGTGCTACTTGGTGAATGAATGCCTCTAAATACAAATCATCTCACAATACCATATACAATATACTTTCAATTACAACTCAAACATAAGGTAACTTGCAAAACCACATGGCTGTACTCAATATACAACAATTGTAATTTTTTAAAGAAAGGAAGAAATCTAGCAATTAATTAAATTAAGGTGCAGTAGCTTTTTCAAATAAAATATTAGCACCATACAGATAAAATAATCTAAACTATTGGCCTTCTCATTCTTCTTAAATAACCAAATATAAACATTTTTTTCAGAGCACAAATATTATTTTGCAAAATCAGTTCTATGGTAGTTAATATGAATTTATTTGCTTTTTTTTTCTTTTTTTCCCTCTTTTTGCATGTTTTCCCCTAAAGAAAAATATGAAGTAGAAACATTCACAGGATATGAAAACCAAACAAATAAGCAAATCTGACCAAACCAAGTACTGTCCTTCAGCAATGAGTTCCAACCGAAGCAAAAGTGGACATTTCCCGGCGTATGGTACTGAAAGGAGACAGTTCGAGCTCTGTGGTGTACTCGTTGTCGTTGTCATCACTGGTCACTGTTGAAGACTTCTGGATGCATTCTTCGCAGCAACAGCAGCAGCACTCCATGAACGCACGACTGAAGGGTTTGCAGAGACAGAAGAGGAGGACGGGGGTAACGCAGGACTTAAAGAATAAAAGAAACTGACTGATGATATTAAGTAGGTCCATTGTCTGCTGTGAAACTCCGGTAGCCATGTAGGCAGTGACGATATTGCAGATATTTTCAGGAATAATGCAAAACCCATACAAAATGGTCAACGCCACTACTGTACAGTTCATCTGGCTTTCTAGCTGGATCTGCCGCTTATTCCCTCGGGTAGAGGCTTTCTCTGCTTTGCGGATTTTCCTTGCAGTCACTAAAGAGCAGGTGATGGTGAAAAGTGTGGGTAGACAAAAGTAACAGCCAAAATACCACCAGAGCCTCGCGCTGTCATAGGTGAGGGCTAAAACGTAGATGGTGTCCGGTAAATCGGGAGAGATCTTTATGACACATCGTTCTGCAGGAGCCCGGCCACTGAACCCCAGATCCTCCTTGCTCAGCTGGCGGAGAACGACCTCTGGAAGTGCCAGCAGCAGAGCGCCAACCCAAATCACAGCTAGTTTGGCCGTCGTTGAAGAACAGTTTTCGATCATCTCATAGTACATTTGTACATTGGTGGCAGCGCGGAAGCGGTCTATACACAGCGCACACAAGGTGAAGGTAGTAACTCCTAGAGAAGCAACCTGCGGGATGGGGAGAACCAAAAAACATTTATTCTGGGCGCTCTCTGAAAAGATCAATGCACTAAGAAATAAATGCAGATTGGTGAGAGAGAACCGTTTGCAGAAGGAGACATGGGTAATTGGAGTGGTAACTGCAGCTGAATCACTGTAAAAATAAAAACAGAAAAATATTTTAATGGCTATACAGTGATGCAGTGATGTAGTAAAAGAAAAAAATTTAGAACTGGAAACATCTGTAAAGGTCAGTTATTCCAATACCATTTTCTTATAGATAAGAACTCAGAGACTCTAAGAATTTCAGATAACCTGAAAATGCCTGTCACCTAGAGATCCAGATAAGGAGTAAAGTTAAGGCATATGCCCCACTTTCATTACTGAAAAGACAGGTCACGTTTTCCAGCATGGGGGTCAATAGTGTGCCTCACACACAGCCAGCAATCAAGAACACTGTTTCCAGAAAGCTAGATAATGAAAAGTCTCCCCCAATTTCTAAATAAAGCTTTTTAGTATTATTTTCAAAGGCAAACATTTATGGAAAAAAAGGAAAGAGGAATTCTTCAGAGGCCAAGATCAATGAGAAAAGAAATTCTAAGAAGGTCAGAGATGATCCCCCACCACCACCACTACCACCATCCCCAGGGCATGTTTTCCACAGCAGCATCTGCCAGTCCCGATGGGGGTTTCAGGTTAGTTTTAGCTGGACAGATGAGGCCAGGTGCCCAGGTATGCAGAGGTGGGACACAAAGCTGGGCTGATTGGGTAAGGATTATGGCAAAGACCCCTTTGTAATTCAAAATTTCCTAAATACTGACATCTTTAGGAGTGTACAGGGGGGGAGGAGAGAGAGAGAGAGAGAGAAAGAGAAAGAGAGAGAGAGAGAGAGAGAGAGAGAGAGAGAGAGAGAGAGAAAGAAACTAGCCTGCATAACCTGAGTTGGAAGTGAATTGGGGTTGGGATGTGGATAAGGAAAATAAATCCTGACACATTCTAACTGAGAACCTGCACTTACATGGCATTAGGGCCAGAATTCACATTATCTATTTCTGGTTTTCAAAAGGATCAAAAATGTATTTACAATCACCCAGGTGCTTGGTATAGGCAAACACAAATCCTCTCTGGAAGAGTGCACCTTATAACCAGGCCTCAGACAAATCTAATAGATAAAATTCAAGGGAACATGAATTTACAAAATCAAAATCTAAATCTAAATGAATAACAAAAGTTAAGAACCAATAATATGCTTCTATGTTTTCACACAAAGGTTTTTCCAAGAATATAAAATATGTTCCTAATATAAACAGAATTCATTTGCCTATATTAAGTATTACACATACTTTAATCAGCACACAGATACACACATACCCAGCACAAACACATATTTATTGATATCAGCTCTATGCCAAGTTTAATATTAGCGGTAAAAGACATAAGAAAGAGTCCTTTTCTCCCAAGAGGGAGAGGATGGTTTTCAAAGTCACAAAATAAACATAGCACTTTCCTGGGAGCATCAAATTTACTAAAATATTTTTGGAGTAATTTATGTAGTTTAGTGCTTATTAATGTAGCTATTATTGATATGAATGGAAGGTAAAATGCTAGTGAGGCTTCAGATAAAACAGGATACTAAAAGAAAAGTCCTAAGTGGATGGAATGCTTTAAACTATACCCCAGAAACCTGAGTATATGCATTCAGTCTCCTCTGTGGTCTGGTGGGAATGTTTAAGAAACATAGTCATGGGTCATGACTTGGTCAATGGGTAAAAAAAAAGTATGTATAATGTTAATATCTGATATTTTAAAGTCAATGTGATCATGTTGACAAAAGAAAAACCATTTGCCATACAATTTTAGTACTTGAAACATTTGTTGTTTATCTACTGCATTCAAGCTGTCACTGTCCCCAGAGCTATGGCAACTTGCCTTGTGAATTCTGAGAGTTCAATGTCAAATAATCTCTCCTCTTGTCACACACTGCACAGTGTCTTCTAGTTAGAATATAGAAAATACCAACATTACTCCATGCCATGACGAGTCTCATGCTTATTAAGGGAAACATGCCAAAAATGAGTTATAACAGGTTTTTAATTACATGAAAAATCAAAAATAAGGAAAAATATGATTAACCGAGCTCTAAATCAGTACAGATAAAGAGCTCATTATAACAACTCTTGTTCTCTAAGAATTGATTGTTTCAGAAATCCCCCCTAAAGACTAGTATAAGAAACATCAGTCTAATATGACTAGGAAAAAATAAAAACCATTCTATATTTACCTTGTAAAAATTAACTTTGAAACTAATGAGTTATTAACCCTGATGGAAATTTGTTTTTAATCTATACTGGAGACCAAAAATAATTCTAACACTGACTTCAGCATTGTGTGATTATCTTCTGATTATGCTTTCTTTTTTAATATCAGTAATTGCCACACTTGAGGAAATCTGAGGATTGGCCTGCCATTATCTAAAGGTCTACATCAAACAATATTGTTCTACTTTACTTTATAGATTTTCTACACTTTGGATTTAAGGTTTTCAAATGCTTTGATTCATTTCTCTTAAAAATATAAAACAAAATTTCAAGTTGTCAGATATATGCAAATACTCAGCAAGCCTCTCTGTGTAGTTTTCAGTAAGGCAAATCTTTGTGCATGGTTCTCTGTCACTATATATCCTGAATCAGTCCACAAATATGAAGTTAAGGCTGTATGCTTTGCATTCTTTTTAAATTATGAATAACATTTCTAATAAAAGGAAAGCTCCGTATTATAAAAATACTAGAGTCTCTGAGAAGAGGCAGTGTGTTAGAAGCTCAGCATATCATTACTTTCACAAAGCAAACACACAAAGGATAGCATCTTCTCCTCCACTAATCTCTCTAATTACCAGTGTAGAGATTTTCAAAAATCTGAACCAATTATCAGAACTGCTAGCATTTGCATCTCTACCTCCAACTTGGTTTCAGAGGAGTTCATGAGAGGTAACAGCGAACGCACGCATGTGGGTGGATGTGGATTAGGATGGGTGTGTTAGATTGCCAACTCTAGTTATCAGAAGCTGTGCTGCACATTCATTCTTAATTAAAAGAACATTTTCCAAAAAGCAAGAGAACATTTTCTAAGTTCCATATATTCCATCTCACAAGACAATGAAAGCCGGGGTATGTCACTTATAGATGCTCCAACTTGCTCAAGAATTATTTTGCAGTGCATTTTACTTACAGATGCTCATTTCTTCAGACATGATTCCCAAAAGCTTTAGTACCAATTAGAATCTCAAATATATTTGATCTGTAGTCTTCTTGACAAATCACGGATGGAGGGATCCTTTCCAGTTTTCATAGACTAAACTCAAAAATCTCCTGTATACAGCTTCTCCTGTATACATTTTCCAACTGTACTTCTCACTGATAACATCCTCTGTGGTTAGGATCCAGCTGAAACAGGGTGAGCAATCCAGAAAAGTCACAGGAGTAACAGAGAGAGTTGCTGAAGAAGCCAATGAGGAAAGCAGAGTTGCCCCAGGTGCAGACAGTACTTTCAGCGTAGAGGCCAGCAGCAACTGCAGCCCAAAGGCCACTCCTAGACATGCTTGCTCTCCTGCTGCCACTGCCTACAGTGTGACTTCAGATATTTTCAGATTTTTATGCACCACATTTTGTGATGTGAAAAAGCAAAAATGTGGGAAGGTCCTGCTCAGTACTCCTCCAAATCATTATAGAAGGCAGTAACATATGTAAAGAATTAATTGCACACCTCTGAATGGATTGATAAAAATCATCTGAATAAGTGGTGTTGGCCTAGTTTCTACTTACGCATATATGAAATTTACCCATGTAATTAAAATTCCTAAACGTTGTGATAACATGAAAAGATTTCCATCACAATTTTAAATGTACTTGTTTATGTACAGCTTATTAAAGATTCTACCAAGATGAATAGTGCAATTATATGCAATTATAAAACTGTATCATGAATGCTGGATCTTCTACATTTAATGACCATATCTGATTGCTAAAATTCAATATCACTATGAAATATGCTCTTGGGAGGAAAGCTGTTAAGCGTTGGCTTAGAAGGGTAGTACTTTGAAGCAGCATCCTGAGATGGAATGAGATGAAATTTCTTATGATTAAATTGCAATAGGAGGAATAATTAACAGCAACAAAAGCAGAACTGTAAACATTTTTAATAGAAAATACTATTAATTTTGAGAATTTCAAGATCAGAGGAAAGCTGGAAACAGAAAATTTTCACTATTGGGGAAACTAAGATATTGAGTTTTGTGAGGGAATTGGCATCAAAATTCAGAAATGGCAAGGGAATCAAAACAAACAACTCTGAGTTCTTTTTCTTTTTCAAACAACAATGTTCTGCTGTTCTTTGTAGCCCAGCATGACAACAATAAAGCTCCTTCAGCTCCAGCCCTGTCAACATCCAGAGCAGTTGGGCTCTGAGCAGTTATGGCCACCTACGGCTTTGCATCAAGGCACAGGAGAGACTGAGCAGAAGTTGAGGCCTGAGAATTTACACATGGAAGTGGCAGCCCCAGTGCTAAAGCAGGGGGTCAAGGGCCACTCTTCTTGATCACCCCTATGATGTACTGTTCCCATTTCAGTATTATTGTGGCTTTATTGAACTCCGTTTTTAGTGGCAAGGAGAGCCACTACACTAATGCTATGTGTGTGGGTGCATGTGTATAAATATATATTCATTTTTTGAGAGAGACAGAGAAACTACCAGATATGTAGTACACTGTGCTTGCTGCTAGGAACAATGATGAATCTGTCCTTAAGAGAGTTGGAATCCAAAGAGGAATTTTTTGACTATCCCACACCTGCTGCTACACAATCAACAAATTAGTTTATACACGGAATGACTCGTTACAGTCTATTAGAGGGATTCACTCGACTATGCACAATTCCTGACATGCTTGCAGTGACTTCCCTTGCTCAGAACATATCCACTCCACGTATGCTTGGAAACTGTACTTGAGAATCACT